GTTGCGATCTTACATACTCTTGGTTGCGATCTTACATATTCTTGGTTGCGATCTTACATATTCTTGGTTGCGATCTTACATACTCTTGGTTGCGATCTTACATATTCTTGGTTGCGATCTTACATATTCTTGGTTGCGATCTTACATATTCTTGGTTGCGATCTTACATACTCTTGGTTGCTATCTTACATATTCTTGGTTGCGATCTTACATACTCTTGGTTGCTATCTTACATATTCTTGGTTGCGATCTTACATATTCTTGGTTGCGATCTTACATATTCTTGGTTGCGATCTTACATATTCTTGGTTGATATCTTACATATTCTTGGTTGCGATCTTACATACTCTTGGTTGCGATCTTACATATTCTTGGTTGCGATCTTACATATTCTTGGTTGCAATCTTACATACTCTTGGTTGCGATCTTACATATTCTTGGTTGCGATCTTACATACTCTTGGTTGCGATCTTACATACTCTTGGTTGCGATCTTACATATTCTTGGTTGCGATCTTACATACTCTTGGTTGCGATCTTACATATTCTTGGTTGCGATCTTACATATTCTTGATTGCGATCTTACATATTCTTGGTTGCGATCTTACATACTCTTGGTTGCGATCTTACATATTCTTGGTTGCGATCTTACATATTCTTGGTTGCGATCTTACATACTCTTGGTTGCGATCTTACATATTCTTGGTTGCGATCTTACATACTCTTGGTTGCTATCTTACATATTCTTGGTTGCGAACTTACATATTCTTGGTTGCGATCTTACATATTCTTGGGCTACTGACTAAATATCTGAACTATTTTGCTCTATCACGTAAGGATTTTGAACGAAATACAAATTAATGATAATGTTAATTTGTTATAAATTATTAATTTATTAAAATTAGGCAAGTAATCATGGAAAAGCACTTTCTGTTAGTTTTAAGAACATATGAATTCCAAATCAACATGAATCAAATCAAATGATTTTAATAAAAAAATATGTTCCTAATGGTTAGCCTACATATTGAATCAAAGGAAGGAGGACCGCTTTGATTTTTGCTTGTGCTGTGCATCGAGAGCATTGCGTTTCACTGACCAGCAGTAATCCACCATCATGCTGACATTCCATCTGCCCTGGTATCGAGTTTCCGTGGTGCAAATATCCTGATGGAACTGCTCTCCTTGTTCCTCACTGTAGTCCCCACAATTGTTGTGAAAATAGTCAAGATCTGAGTGCAAAAAGTGCTTCTTCACACTCATTCTAGACCCAAGTTTTTGGAAATTTGAAATCAAGTTATGGATCATTTTTTCATATTTGTGGGAGTGCTTGTTTCTCAGGAAGTTGTGGACAATCTGCTTGAATGAAAACCAGACATTCACCTCGACACCTGTTAATTCCTCATCAAAATGCCTGTCCTTCATCAATTCCCGAATCTGAGGGCCAACAAAGATTCCTGCCTTTAGTTTGCCTTAACTTATACCAGGAAACTTTGACTCCAGGTACTTGAAAGCAGTTCCATTCTTGTTCAAGGCCTTCACAAAATTTTTCATAATTCATAATCCCTAATTTGATGTGGAGTGGTGGCAGCAGAATTTTCTTGGGGTCAACTAGTGGCACAGTTTTCACTTTATGATTTCCGGGTGAGAAGCTGGTTCCTGGTGGTCAGTATTTTTATTCATAGTGCTGGTTGTCTACCCTATCCCAATGACACAGAAAACAGGGATACGTTATGTATCCGCCTTGAAGACCTAGTAGGAGAGTGATAACTTTCAAATCACCACAAATGAGAAAACTGTGATTCTGGTACTTGATTGCAAATATTAGTATCTTCATATCTGCCTAAGTTTCTGACATTTGGACACTGGCCAATTGGCACAGATGCAGCTGTGTTGCCATTGTAGAGAAGTACAGCCTTTAAACTTCTTTTAGAAGAATCAATGAAGAGTCTTCATTCACCTGCTGTGTATGACATCCTCATGTGTTCAATAAGGCCAGAAATATTTGAACATAAAACTAAAGATTCCTCTTTGTCAAAGAACTGAGGGAATTCCTCTTCACGATGATGGTACCAAGCGAATGTTGTTCCAGGAGCAAGAAGCCTGTGTTCCTTCAGTCTAGAGCCAAGTAACTGTGCACTTTCTTTTGGAAGGTTAAGGGCTCTCACCAAGTCACAGAGCTCAACTTGGTTAAAGAGTTTGGGATCATCATTTGTTGATGGTTCATAGTCTACATCCATCTCCTTAGAATCACTGGTATCAGACTCTGATGAAATTTGCCATGACTCAGGTGGCACAGGTACAGGAATACCTTCAGAGTGTGGTGCAGCCCTTATTCCTGAATTAATATTTGGGTAAATTACGTAATATTTAGTCTTCTTGTTGAATCCAGCTACTTTAGTCATGCAAAAGTAGCAGTCATCATGATGGTTCATCTGCTCCCGCCATACCATTGGTACTCCAAAGTTTTCCAACTGACCACATTTGGAGCTTACTGATGAAACTCTTGCAAGCTTTGTGTGGTGCAAATAGTTTGTCCTGATCTCCAAGCTTGCAACCAAAATAAGCAAAGTAGCAGGGCTTCAATAAAGGAGTAATGTTGCTCCGGGAATCTGAAGGGGTGAATTGCCCGCAGACATAACAAAATATATCTGGTGAATTTATGCAGCCTCTAGACATAATAATCTGAAAATAAAAACAGTTATATTAGATTTATCATTCAAGTCAATATAAGGTAAGCATTTTAATTGGTAATATACCACTTTCTCACTTATGTTGTACGAAAAGAGAAAAGTAACGTTTCCGTATAACTTGACAACCTGATGTGACAGAGATGAATAAAAAACACTGAATCTCTTCTCCATATATATATATATATATATATATATATATATATATATATATATATATATATATATATATATATATATAATATATTATATTATATATTATAACACAAAAATACCATAGAGTCAATAAAAAAAACATGCAGACGAGTGTAATAATGTTTATTTAATTATTTGTGATAAATTGTATTAAATATTATAAGAATTAGGCCAAAACTGGTTTAAAAAACTAATGACAATCCTGAGTTCGAGAAATTGTTTTTATATAACATTTAATAACTTGGCCCGAGAGACTACATAGCTGTCTGGTTCTCTCTACAAAAGTTTGCTGAACCCTGTCCTAGCGGCTTCAAATCTAGCGGGAGAAAGCTGGTAGGCCTACATGTGAGAGAATGGGTCAATATGGTCAGTGTGCGCAGTATAAAAAAAAATCCTGCAGCATGCAGTGCATATGAGAAAAAACTGCAGCCGTGTTTTTGGTTTAAAACAGCGGTGTATTTTCGTATGGTATTTATGATTTGCAATGGTTTAATGAATAAAAGTAGCTGGAAATTGAGTTCAGAGTAGCGGAAATGTTCGATTTTTGCCGATGTTCAAGAGTAAATAATTCACGTCACACGTCCAATACACGTCAACTGGCCGATCTAATATGCATTCACAAATGCGCTGATATTAATTATACAGTTATTACAATTATGCAGTAGTCTGATTAACAGTAAATCTTCTATTTTTTGCGTGAATAAAAATTCAAAATGAAAAGTATAATATAAGAGGGACTGGAGACGTAACTAATGAACAGAGAAAACGTTATTTTAGTGCCAGGAATGTCTGCATTGTTTATGATGGACCCTGTTTTGAAAGTGACCTTTCTTGAATTTTGTGTGAAATTGGCGAAATTAGTAATTTCAGGTCACTTTATTGGGTAGTTGAAATAGGTAAATGGGCAGTTTCTAGTACTCGGTCCATAGAATAAAGGGAGTTGTAAGGAAATAGCTATGAGTTTGGCCGACTAGAACAATGGAATTGGCCCAAAATAGGGCTCAAAGTGGGCGAAATCGCCGATGCGCAAATATCGCCGTGATCACTAACTTCACGATAACGTAATTTCCTAAGTATTCCATAAAATTTGGTACTTTTTGTTTCATTACGTTCACAAGATGTACAGCAAAACCTCAAGAGATGTTTATAGCACACACTTTAGTGGCTATACTTACTGAGACCCCCACTATGGACTGTGTGGCAATCATGTGAGCCAAGCGTTGTCGGTCGACAACCAAAACCAGTTCGAACAAATCGGTTCTGAAACTGATTTGTTCGACAGCTAGTCCGTTCGACAAAAGAGGTTTACGTTGTTTAAAAGGGCAAGATTAGTTTTCTGAACGTTTTTTTTATAATAAGTGACTTTTTCTCAATCGGCTGTTTTACATATTTATTGCCTTTGTATTATGCCAAAATCACAGTAAATCAACATCACCATCTCAGCATATATTAAGACATTGAATTTTGGTCACTGGATTAGCCAGGTAACTAAATATTAATCTCATTCCAATCACTCAGTCACGTTTGTAAATTATTTTCAAATGTTTAAATTACTTCAATTACATAGCACAACCTTGTAAATTAGACCTCAAGGCATTATATCATAGACCTAATTGTTTACTTTTGTAACCGTGTGAGCAAGATAGATCCTCAGATAATACTGCATTATGTGGTCAACAAATATTCCCATATTTTCATTACAAACTCATTAGAAAGATTCATTTTTTATTTTTCATTAACACATGAGCCGTTTCCCACCAAGGCAGGGCGGCCCAAAAAAGAAAAACTTTCATCTCTCATTCATTCCATCACGTCCTGCCGGAAGGGTGCTTTACACTACAATTATAAAACTGCAACATTAACACCCCTCCTTCAGAGTGCATACACTGTACTTCCCATCTGCCGGTTTCCCTGAATCCCTTCATAAATGTTACCTTGCTCACACTCCAAGTCTTAATTTTAATTTTTGAACGGGTGGAGCGGTAAGTTAGCATAAGACCTCGGTCAGATGACCCAAAGTTCCAGTAGCAGATCATTATATTATTAAAACTAGCGTCAGGATAATTATCCTGTTTCCTGTCGAGCCTTACCTAGCCTAATAAGATTTTTTTCTACTTAGACATTAGCAGACCACTCACTGCATGTGTCAGTAGCTGGTGCAGACGTTGCTGGTAACTACACCTGCCACGCACACAACCCGGGTGGGCGAGACGAGGCTAGTTGGGTGGTACAAGTGGTACAGCCTCCACCACCACCAACCCTCAGGGTTCAGTACGCCACAGAAACCTCTATTCATCTCTCCTGGGATCCACCGGGTGATGGCGGCAAGCCTATCACAGGTAAATTCGCATTTTTTTGCCTTTCTTTATATAATGTACATAAACAATGAATAAAAGCCTAATGAACAATTGTCAATACCAATAATACCCCACATTTTCTGTCTACATGAGGTTATTAACGAACATACACATTTTCATTAATAAAGAGATCATACAAATATTTCTGTGATGTTTGATAAGCTTATATGAGGGAGATTATTATTATTATTATAATCAAGGGGGAAGCGCTAAACCCGGAGGATTATACAGCGCCTAGGGGGGGGGATGTGGAAGGCATTCAGACTTAATTCGGGGAACTGGAGCACAGATCCAATTCCCTAAATCAAGAGCCTCTCACCAACATCAAGGAACCTTCCTTGAGGGGTATGTGAGGGAGAGAGATTTCATCAGTCGTTTTTTCTTAAAATTTTAAGAGGATTTAATGACTGTTGACAGTGAAAGTAAATGAAATAGTATACTGAAGTGAGGGACGAGGGTGGAAGCTTTAACAAAGTGAAAGGTAGTATAGGATGCACCACAGACAAGGGAAGTAGGTGTTAGATCTTGTTTATAGAGGGATTGAAATGGTTTGTTATTCACTTATGACTTTTCGGGTTAGCGCTTAGTTTTTATAATAATAATAATAATAATAATAATAATAATAATAATAATAATAATAATAATAATAATAATAATAATAATAATAATTTTATAGCGACAGAGACAAGTTAATCTAAAAACGGCAATTATGCAATTTCAGCTGAATTTGGTATTAGGAGAAAATTTAATCTAATTGATACCTTTGTCATTATTTTATAATTATTTAAATTACTGATTTAAATAAAATAAGCGTAGTTTTGACCACAACTACCGTCTCCCGCCATCCCAGGGGAATCCAAATACATATATAATGTAAATTATATATATTATAAATAAAATTATAATATAAAAATCAAAAGTGTGCCCAGAACCTCAAATATTTTGTTTTACAATGAAAATTAATTCTTCTTAGTATTTAATACATTCGGTGAAATAATTCATATCCCTCTGGTTTGGCTACACTTGTAGGATACATCTTACGGTACAGCTTGGAGGGAGACAAGACGTGGGTGGAAGAGGCAGTGGAACCAGGAGAGGCAACATACAGTGTGCAGAAGCTTCGTTGTGGCTCCACCTACCACCTGCAGGTGGCAGCCGTCAACCTAGTGGGTCGAGGGGAGGCTTCCCCCACTGTCAACACCAGAACCCGCGGAGCTGGTGAGTCCTCACTCACGTTTTCATACTTCTCTTGTGTTATGATTGTTCTGCTTTGTGCCATTGTACTGTTATTACCTAAATACTGGTAGCTAGGCAGTGTGTAGTGAAGAGACAATGGAATAAAAGAAATAATTACTGTTCCAGTATCATATTTGCATCTCATTGAAGCTGTGGTCGTTGTTGAAGTGAGATTCTTTCCACTGCCATGAAACATTACCATTCTTTCCGCAGTGGTAATGTTTACACTTGTCTGCTGCACTCTACCATTTTATCGATACGATCTTTTTTAATTGCCTTATAACAAAGAAGTTATATACCAGGTGTGGAATTTATTAGCATTCTAATAGCATCTGACTTTACATGGTCACGTGCTCATGCGCACACGCAAGCGCGCACGCACACACACACACACACACACACACACACACACACACACACACACACACACACACACACACACACACACACACACACACACAAACACACACACACACAACATGAAAATGACATAGCATCGAAAGTCAAGTCTGATCCGAAACTACTCTACAGCCACATCAGGAGGAAGACAACTATCAAGGACCAGGTAATCAGGCTGAGGAAGGAAGGTGGGGAGCTCACAAGAAACGACCAGGAGGTATGTGAGGAGCTCAACATGAGATTTCAGGAAGTATTTACAGTGGAGGCTGAAGGGACAACGGGAAGGCAAAACAGTGGGGTACAGCAACAAGGAATATACAAACAAGTGTTGGATGAATTACACACAACTGAGGAGGAGGTGGTGAAGCTCCTAAGTGACCTTGATACCTCAAAGGCGGTGGGACCGGACATCTCTCCATGGGTCCTTAGAGAGGGAGCAGGGACACTACGTGTGCCACTAACCAAAATCTTCAACACTTCCCTTGAAACTGGGCACCTACCTGAAGTATGGAAGAATGCAAACGTAGTCCCCAGTTTTAAGAAGGGAGCCAGAAATGAAGCACTAAATTATAGACCAGTGTCACTGACATGTATAGTATGCAGAGTCTTGGAGAAGATTATCAGAGGAGAATGGTGGAGCACCTGGAGCGGAACAAGATTATAAACGACAGCCAGCACGGATTCATGGAAGGCAAATCCTGTGTCACAAACCTACTAGAGTTTTATGACAAGGTAACTGAAGTAAGAAATGAGAGGGAGGGGTGGGTTGATTGCATTTTCTTGGACTGCAAGAAGGCCTTCGACACAGTTCCTCACAAGAGATTAGTACAGAAGCTAGAGGAACAGGCACGTATAACAGGAAGGGCACTGCAATGGATCAGAGAATACCTAACAGGGAGACAACAGCGAGTCATGAGGTATCACAGTGGGCGCCAGTGACGAGTGGGGTCCCACAGGGGTCAGTCCTAGGACCAGCGCTATTCTTGGTATATGTGAACGACGTGACGGAAAGGATAGACTCAGAAGTGTCCATGTTTGCAGATGACGAAGTTAATGAGGAGAATTAAATCAGACGCGGACCAGACAGGTCTACAAAGAGACCTGGACAGGTTGGACGTGTGGTTTGGAAACTGGCTCCTAGAATTTAACCCAGCCAAATGCAAAGTCATGAAGACCGGAGGAGGGCAAAGAAGACTGCAGACAGAGTATAGGCTAGGAGGCCAAAGGCTGCAAACCTCACTCAAGGAGAAAGACCTAGGAGTGAGTATAATACCGAGTACATCACCAGAAGCACACATTAACTGCTGCGGAATATGGGCTCTTGGCAAACCTGAGAATAGCGTTCCGGTACCTCAGTAAGGAATCGTTCAAGACTTTAGACACTGTGTACGTCAGGCCCATACTGGAGTACGCAACACCAGTTTGGAGCCCACATCTAGTCAAACACGTCAAGAAATTAGAGAAAGTGCAAAGGTTTACAACAAGGCTAGTTCCAGAACTAAAGGGAATGTCCTATAAAGAAAGGTTAAGGGAAATTGGTCTGACAACACTGGAGGACAGGAGGGTCAGGGGAGACATGATGACGACATACAAAATACTGCGTGGAATAGGCAAGGTGGACAGAGACAGGATGTTCCAGAGAAGGGACACAGAATCAAGGGGTCACAATTGGAAGCTGAAGACTCAGATGAGTCAAAGGGATGTTAGGAAGTATTTCCTCAGTCATTGAGTAGTTAGGAAGTGGAATAGTCTGGCAAGCGATGTAGTGGAGGGAGGAACTATACATAGTTTTAAGACGAGGTATGATAAAGCTCATGGAGCAGGGGGAGAGAGGACCTAGTAGCGGTTGGTGAAGAGGCGGGGCCAGGAGCTGAGTCTCGACCCCTGCAACCACAATTAGGTGAGTACACACACACACACACACAAAGGTGGACAAAGGCAGGATGTTCCAGAGATGAGACACATGAACAAGGGGTCACGATTGAAAGTTGAAGACTCCTATGAGTCAAAGGGATGTTAGGAAGTATTTCTTCAGTCAGAGAGTTCTCAGGAAGTGGAATAACCTAGAAAGCGAAGTAGTGGAGGCAGGAACCATATATAGTTTCAAGACGAGGTTTGATAAAGCTTGTGGAACAGGGAGAGAGAGGACCTAGTAACAATCACTGAAGTGGCAGGGCCAGGAGCTATGACTCGGCCCCTGCAATCACAAATAGATGGTACACACACACACACACACACACACACACACACACACACACACACACACACACACACACACACACACACACACACACACACACACACACACACACGCATACACAGCAGCCCCCTATGCGCACTCTGCCCCCACCAATCCCATCACAAACCCCACTCACACCACAAACCCCCATAGGCCCCCCAGGGCTCCCGCTCCCCCAACGCCAATATTCTCCCAGGTCCACCGTGACAGACAAGAAGCTGAAGGTGTGGTACACAAATGCACAAGACTGGACCGTGTGTTCACCCTGAGTAGTTCAGACATTAATGACATCACATATGAGAGGCCCCTCGGAGCTAGTGACCACGTAGTCCTGAGTTTTGATTACATAGTAGAGTTACATGTGGAGAGGGTAACAGGAGTCGAATGGGAAAAAAACAAACTATAAAAGGGGAAACTACACAGGTATGAGGAACTGCCTGTGGGAGGTTCAGTGGGACAGAGAAATTGTAGGAAAGTCAGTAAATGAAATGATGGAATATGTAACAACAAAATGCAAGGAGGCAGAGGTAAGGTTTGTTCCCAAAGGCAACAGAAACAATGGGAAGACCAAAGCAAGTCCTTGGTTTACCCGAAAGTGCAGGGATGCAAATACTAAGTGCATTAGAGAATGGAAGAGGTACAGAAGGCAAAGGACCCAGGAAAACAAGGAGATCAGTCGAAGAGCCAGAAACGAATATGCACAGATAAGGAGGGAGGCCCAGCGACAGTACAAAAATGACATAGCATCGAAAGTCAAGTCTGACCCGAAACTGCTGTTTATCAACATTAGGAGAAAGACAACAGTCAAAGACCAGGTGATCAGGCTAAGGAAAGAAGGTGGGGAACTCTCAAGAAACGATCAAGAGGTATGTGAGGAGCTTAACACGAGATTTAAGGAAGTATTCACAGTGGAAACAGGAAGGACTCTGGGAAGACAGGAGAGAGGGGGACACCAACAGGGAATAGAACACCATGTGCTGCATGACATGCACACAACTGAGGAGGAGGTGAAGAAGCTGCTAAGTGACCTTGATACCTCAAAGGCAATGGGACCGGACATCACCCTTTGGGTCCTCAGGGAGGGAGCAGATACACTGTGTGTGCCATTAACCACAATCTTCAACACATCCCTTGAAACTGGGCAAGTACCTGAGGTATGGAAGACGGCAGATGTAGTTCCCAGTTTTAAAAAAGGAGACAGAAAAGAGGCACTAAACTATAGACCTCTGTCATTGACGTGTATAGTATGCAAAGTCATGGAGAAGATTATCAGGAGGAGAGTGGTGGAGCACCTGGAGAGGAACAAGATTATAAACGATAACCAACATGGATTCATGGAAGGCAAATCCTGTGTCACAAACCTTCTGGAGTTATATGACAAAGTTACAGAAGTTAAACACGAGAGAGAGGGGTGGGTTGATTGCATTATCTTGGACTGCAAGAAGGCCTTCGACACAGTTCCTCACAGGAGATTAGTGCAGGAACTAGAGGATCAGGCACGAATAACAGGAAGGGGACTGCAATGGATCAGAGAATACATGACAGGGAGGCAACAGCGAGTCATGGTACGGGATGAGGTATCACAGTTGGCACCTGTGACGACCGGGGTCCTACAGGGGTCGGTTCTAGGGCCAGTGCTATTTTTGGTATATGTGAATGACTTAATGGAAGGGATAGACTCAGAAGTGTCCCTGTTCGAAGATGATGTGAAGTTAATGAGGAGAATTAAATCAGATGAGGACCAGGCAGGACTTCAGAGAGACCTGGACAGGCTGGACACGTGGTCCAGCAACTGGCTTCTTGAATTCAACCCTGCTAAATGCAAAGTCATGAAGATCGGAGAAGGGCAAAGAAGACCGCAGAGTATAGGCTAGGGGGCCAAAGACTGCAAACCTCGCTCAAGGAGAAAGATCTTGGGGTGACCATAACACCGAGCATGTCTCCGGAGGCACACATCAACCAGATAACAAGGGGTCACAATTGGAAGCTGAAGACTCAGACGAGTCAGAGGGATGTTAAGAAGTATTACTTCAGTCACAGAGTCGTCAGGAAGTGGACTTGCCTAGCAAGTGATGTAGTGGAGGCAGGAACCATACATAGCTTTAAGACGAGGTATGACAGAGCTCAGGAAGCAGAGAGAGGACCTAGTAGCGATCAGTGAAGAGGCGGGACCAGGAACTGTGTATCGACCCCTGCAATAAAATTAGGCGAGTACAATTAGGTGAGTACAAACACACACACACACACACACACACACACACACACACACACACCACACACACACACACACACACACACACAAATAAATGTGAGGAGTGGCACGAAAGACATAGCACTCACAGAA